TCCCACTTCCACTCTTTGGCTGGCCATCACTTATTCCTGGCCGGGCCCAGTGGCTACACCTATAATACCAGAACTTGGGAATCCGAGGCGGGCAGATCACTTGAAACCAAGAGTTGGAGACCAGCTTGATCAATATGGCAAGACCCATCTCTACAAAAAAAATACAAAAAAAATCAGCCGAGTGTGGGTGGTATGCACCTGTAGTCCAGCTACTTGGGAGGTTGAGGTGGGAGGATCACTTAAGCCCAGAAGGTGAAAGTTGATTGTGCCACTGCATTCCAGCCTGGTCAAAAGAGCAAGATCTAGCAATAATAATAATAATAATAATAAATAATCTTATTCCCACTTTGAGGCCTGGGTCATCTCTTCCAAGACGTTTTTGCACACACCCCATCCCCAGACTAGTAGTAAATCTCCTTGGATTAATCCCTGGAGCACTTACTATCCTGTGTCTTGTCCCACTCTTAAGGCTTCTATTTCAGCCAACCTAATTTATTCATTCAACAAATAGGTATTGAGTGTCTGCTCTGTGCCAGGTACTGGAGAGTGAACAAGACAGACTCATGGAGCTAACATTCTCAAGGAGGAGGTAAATACACAAATAAATATATGTGATATCAGATGCCAGGCACGATGGCTCATGCCTGTAATCCCAACACTTTGGGAGGCTGAGGTAGGTGGAATCACCTGAGGTTGGGAATTCGAAATCAGCTTGACCAACATGGAGAAACCCTGTCTCTACTAAAAATACAAAATTAGCCGGGCATGGTGGCACATGCCTATAATCACAGCTACTTCAGAGGCTGAGGCAGGAGAATCGCTTGAACCTGGGGTACGGAGGTTGTGGTGAGCCAAGATCTCACCACTGCACTCCAGGCTTGGCAACAGAGCAAGACTGTCTCAAAAAAAATTTAAAAAAAAAAAAAAAGAAAGAAAGTGAAGGCAGAAAGGAAGAAATGGTCCATAGAGAGTGAGGGATGGGGTATGGGTTGGGGGGGTCTTCTCAGCAGAGTGGTCAGGAAAGGCTCAGTGAATAGCAAAGGTTTTAAAATCTCAGAGACGGCCGGGCAGGGTGGCTCAAGCCTGTAATCCCAGCACTTTGGGAGGCCAAGGCGGGTGGATCACGAGGTCAAGAGATCGAGACCATCCTTGTCAACATGGTGAAACCCCGTCTCTACTAAAAATGCAAAAAAAATTAGTTGGGCATGGTGGCATGTGCCTGTAGTCCCAGCTACTCAGGAGGCTGAGGCAGGAGAATTGCCTGAACCCAGGAGGCGGAGGTTGCGGTGAGCCGAGGTCGCGCCATTGCCCTCCAGCCTGGGTAACAACAGCAAAACTCTGTCTCAAAAAAAAAAAAAAAAATCTCAGAGACAAGAATGAGTGTCATGTGAACAGTAAAAAGATATGACTGGAGTGGAGTGAGTGAGGGTAAAAGGAATAGGAGATGGGATCAGGAAGGGATCATATTTTTTTTAGATGGAGTCTCGCCCTGTTGCCCAGGCTGGAGTGCAGTGGCACGATCTTGGCTCATTGCACCTCTGCCTCCCAGGTTTAAGCGATTCTCCTACTTTAGCCTCCCAAGTAGCTGAGACTACAGGTGTCGATCACCACGCCCGACTCATTTTTGTATTTTTAGTAGAGACAGGGTTTCACCATGTTGGTCAGGCTTGTCTTGAATTCCTGACCTCAAGTGATCTGCCTGCCTCAGCCTCCCAAAGTGCTGGGATTACAGGCTTGAGCCACTGTGCCTGGCCAGGAAGAAAGAATTTTTTATTTTAAATCTGTTAGTAAAAGCAGGAGACTGGCTGGGCACGGTGGCTCACGCCTGTAATCCCAGCACTTTGGGAGGCTGAGGCAGATGGATTGCCTGAGGTCAGGAGTTTGAGACTGGCCTGACCAACATGGAGAAATGTCATCTCTACTAAAAATATAAAATTATCCAGGTGTGGTGGTGCATGCCTGTAATCCCAGCTACTTGGGAGGCTGAGGCAGGAGAATAGCTTGAACCTGGGAGGTGGAGGTTGTGATGAGCCGAGATCATGCCATTGCACTCCAGCCTGGGCAACAAGAGCAAAACTCTCTCAAAATAAATAAATAAATAAATAAATAAAAACAAAAAAACAGGACTATCAGAATCTGAATTGCTTTAAAGTGTAATGTAGCTGCAATAACATGTATAATTTTTATAGCCAGTTAATATCAAATGGCAGCAACCCTAAATTTAAATCGACCAAATCTCCCAATCAAAAGATACAGACAAAATCTAACGGTATATCCAAAGATATACATAGACTCAAAATAAAGGGTTGGAAAAAAAAAACGTACCAACCAAATGGAGAGCAAAAATAAATAAATAAAAAGCAGGAGTTGCAATTTTCATATTTGACAAAATAGATTTCAAAGCTACAAGGATACAAGGGTAAAAGGATTAATGTAATAATAAGAGATCTTAACGCCCAGATACATAAGACCCAGAATGAGATTTAGATTCAACGAGACAGAAAATTGATAACGATATCCGGGACTGGAACTAAGATCCAGAACAAATAAACTCAATAGAGCTCGCCATTTTAAACACACAAAATATACATTATCCACAAAATCTAACGATATATCTAAAGATATACAAAGACTCAAGACAAGGGGATGGAAAAAAACTCACCAACTAAATGGAGAGCAAAAATAAATAAATAAAAAGCAGGAGTTGCAATTCTCACACTTAATAAAATAGATCTCAAAGCTACAAGGATGCAAGGGTAAAAGGATTAATGTAACAATAAGAGATCTTAACACCCAGATACATAAGACACATAATGAGATTTAGATTCAAGAGACAACAAATTGATAATGATATCTAGGACTTGAACTCAGAGCCAGAACAAATAAACACAATAGAGGTCTCCATTTTAAACACATAAAATATGCATTAACCACTTTAAACACTCAAAATATTGATCGGCCATTATTGAAACCCATTTTAGGAATGAAGTAATATTCCTTTTTCCCTCTTTTTCTTTTTTTCCCCTTCTTTTTCTCTTTTTCCCTCAAAAAAATAAAAAAAAAAAGAACAAATTCCCATCGCATCCAACCATGTGGATGAGTCACAGACATAACAATAAGTGAAAGAAGACAGACACTTAAAAGTACATACTGTATCATTCCATTTAAGTGAAAAAAAAAAAAAAAGAATAACGTATAATTTTTACATGATAAACTCAACAAGCCAAATACACACACTTGGGTACCCACCCCAGATCATGACATGGAACGTTTCCGTCACCCCACAGGGCTTCTTTATGCCCCTCTCTGGTCAATACTTTTCTGCTACCCTATTGAGTAGGCACTATTTTTACTTCGGTCCCCATAGATTAACTTAGCCTTGAACTTTGTCCTTGAACTTTGTTTTTCTTTTTTCTTTTCTCTCTTTTTTTTTTTTTTTTTAAGAAAGAGTCTCACTCTATCATCCAGGCTAGAGTACAGGGGTGCAGTCATAGCTCTCTGCAGCCTTGAACTTCTGGGCTTAAGCAGTTTTCCCACCTCAGCCTCCTGAGTAGCTGGGACTACACGCATGCACCACTGTGCTTGGCTAATTTTTTTTTTTTTGAGATAGGGTCTCCCTCTTTCACCCATGCTAGAATACAGTGGCATGATCTATGCTCACTGCAGCCTTGACCTCCCACTTCAGCCTACTGAGTAGCTGGGACTACAGAAATGCACCACCATATCACGCTAATTTTTTGTTTGTTTGTTTTTTTGTTTTGAGACGGAGTTTCGCTCTTGTTACCCAGGCTGGAGTGCAATGGCGCGATCTCGGCTCACCGCAACCTCCGCCTCCTGGGTTCAAGCAATTCTCCTGCCTCAGCCTCCCAAGTAGCTGGGACTACAGGCGCACGCCACCATGCCCAGCTAATTTTTGTATTTTTAGTAGAGACGGGGTTTCACCTTGTTGACCAGGATGGTCTCGATCTCTTGACCTCGTGTTCCACCCGCCTCGGCCTCCCAAAGTGCTGGGATTGTAGGTGTGAGCCACCGCACCCGGCCAATTTTTTTTTAAGAGATGAGGTCTCCTGATGTGGCCTGAGCTTGTCTTAAACTCCTGAGCTCAAGTGATCCTCCCACCTCAGCCTCCCAAAGTGCTGGGATTACGGGCATGAACCAACATGCCCAGCTAATTTTTTAAATTTTGTGTAGAGATGAAAAGAATTAGTTATTTTTAATAAATATGTCTGGCTCATCATTTAAAAACTAGAACTTCTGAGGGAGCGGGAGTTGTAATTCCTGTTAAAAAAAAAAAAAAAAGTAGCATGTATCCACAATACAGATCTTTACACAGACAAATGCATTGAGCAAATTACATGCTGTCTTATCATTTTTGAATGCAGTCCTTTTCCCTATTTCCTTTTCTATGGTCAGCCCCCAGCCCCATTTTCTTCCCACCATAACAGCTTGAATATGGAGTATACTTTTGTCTTTGTTTATGTAATTCTCTATAGAATATATACCTATACACATACCCAGGGGGAGTGCTGTGTATTGTTTTACAATGTGGGATCACTTACACACCTTTTCTCTCCTTATCTCAACACCACCTCATAGAAACTCCTCCAAGCTATCTGGCATGTTCTGATTTTCCATGTTCATTGGTTACATACTATGCCGTGGTGTGGATGTGTAATAATGTGTTCAGCTATTCCCACCTGGAAGGCAAACCTCTGTTTCCTGGCTTTTGCTCCTTTGAACTATGCCAGAACACCCATCTTTGAAATGTACAGTTTCAGAGCAAGAGGTGAAGTTGGATGCTCTTTCATTCCATCCCACAGTTTTACAGTTAAGGTAAGTAAGAATCAGAAAAGTAGAAGAACATGCCCAAAGTCACACAGCTATTTGCTTGGTGCTTTCTAAAAATTTGAATAGCTATTATTTCACATGCTCTTCACAAGCAGGCCAAGTATTAGCATGTCAACCTTAAACATGGAGAAACTGAAGTCAAAGAGACCAATTGCTTTGATTTTATTGCCAGTGAGGGCTAAAGCTAGGGCTTAAAGCCAGGACTTCTGATTCGTGATCCCTAGTAGCTTCTTCCACGCCTACGTTGATAGAAACCATTAACTCAAGACTTCTACAGGGCAGCATTCCGTTAATATATTCTAGACATTAACTGTACACCCTGCCAGAAAAAAAAAAAAAAAGTTTTGTTAAAAGAATGACACGGTGCGGATTTGCCCATAATTCATAGCATACTTTCCTATTAGAATACATGATAGTTGAGGTTGTTAAAAACAGTCTTTGAAATCAGATTTAATTGTGGGTGCTGGGTCTGTTACTAACTCTGCAACCTTCAGCAGGTTACCCAGCATCCCTAAAACCCAGTTTCCTCATCTATAGCCAAAGATATAATTGCACTGCACCTACCTCCTTCTCAGGTATTGTTTGGATTAGATGCCGCAGGTGTGAGAGCAGATAGGATAGTGCCTGGCACATAGTAAGCTCTTGATAATGATTAGCTATTATTTTGAATGCTGTAATTCTTACGTCTCACCCCACTGCACCGGTAGATATCTTTGATATCTTTCCTTCTTCACTCTTCCTTGTCTAGGACAGGGAAAACCTTTCTTATCTGCAGGTCCAGGGCAGTTCACCTTGCTGATTACTTTGTTGTGTCTTCGAAGCTGTAGGGTAAGAGAGGGGACGACCTTAAAAGCATTGTCTCTTTTTGCGTTGTACATTGGCTAAAGTGGAGGGGAGTCTGTCCCTGAAATCGGCAGAGTGAGAACATTCTGACTCTTCTGAGCATGCCTGACTGTGTGAGCCATGGAGAATGCAGACATTTTTCAGCAACAGAGCATAACTGTCAATGGATGTGTACAGCTATTTTAGTACCTTCTCCCCTCCTGGAGAAAAGCCATTTTCAAGCCCATTGCTTGCCATGCATCAAGTGATGAAATACAGATAACAAATTGTGCATTTGTTTGGCTTCATGCTTATTACACCCCCGGTTCTGGAAAGCATTGCACTTAGCCCCTTAATAATCCCTCTCCTGAGATCAATTACTAGGATTTATCTGGTTCCTTGAGCATAAAAGTGTTTTATTGTTTTTACTTTTGCTCCAAGTGAAGTGTGAGTGGGTAGGCCAGGTTTAAAGGGACTGTCCCAGGCAAAAATGTGAAGCTGGGATCATTGGTCCTGCTTTACTGCCTACCAGGTCCTCATGACCAGGAAAGGGGGAATATTTGGAAGCACCTTCCCTGGGTAGGCACCAGGTCCAGATGTCCTCATCTCTGGCTATTTGCACATACATAGAACATAGGACTGCAGGTGCCTAGGAAGGTCGGTGCTGCTCCAGGGAAGAGGCTGGAAAGCAGAACCAAGTTACCATTTCAGACCAAATCGTTTTTCCTCTAGAGTTTCACTGTAATCCAAACCAGTTGAGCATTTGAGAAGAAGTGGGTACCATGAAAAGGGATAATGGAATTAGCTTTCATGTTTTTCCAGGACTCTAAACCATATTTCCTGTCACAACTGTACATTATTAATACAAGGCATCTGTTAGCGCAGAACTGCCTGAAAATGTGCACCCAAAAACCTTACATCTGGTTTCAATAATTTATTTCTGACATTTGTAGTTGGTGGTGGTGGGGAGTGGGGGGAGGATGGGAAAAAAAGGGGAATTAAACCAAGATGTTGCCTCTAACCAATCAGAAGCTCCTGTTGGAGCCCAAAGCTGGAGTTCTTAACGTGGTTTCTGCATTAGGTAACATAATTATATTAATTTAGCAGCAAATAGCAAGACTCCAGGCCTGGTGGGTGTGGGTGCCCACTCGCTTTTATCCTGCCTTCTCTGGTTGCAGCAATTAGCTTCTTCTTGCGAAGGGGATTAGGAGGATCACCCCCCGCCAGCAGCGGGGGGCTGGGGGGGGCTCTCTCAGAGCTGTCAGGTGTCATTTGGTTTACCCAGCCCCCCCCCCCCCGCCCCTGCAATTAACTCCCTCTCCTGCTTTGCCAGCCCTTCCCCCGCGGAGACAAAGAGGCCTGTTCCCTAGGTGTCCGATCTCCTGCCCCTTCGAAGGGCCCCGCCCGCGTTCCTCCAGCAGGAATCGCCCCAGGCGCTGGGAGCCAGAGCAGGCCGGGTCTGACACCCGCCCCAGACTTTCCACGATCAGGTTTCAGCTGGACTAAAGAGCGGGAAAGAAAGAACGCGCGACTTCCGCGGTCCAGAGCGGCGCGAGGGCTCGGGGGAAATGCTGGCCTCGCCTGGGTGGGAGGGGACGCGGAGAGGCTCGGGGCTCGGCCCGCGTCTGACCGGGGACTGGGCCTTGGGACTGGGCCGGGCACAGGTGTTCCAGGAGGGGGAACCCTGACTCGACGCGGACCGGCCACCTGACCCTCCCGCGCCTGCGCTGCCACCCGCCCTGCTCCGCCATCGCCTCCTCTAAAGTGCCCGGGGTCCGCCGAGGCGTACTCGTCGGAGATGCTCTGAGGGAGGAACGACGGCTAAAAGCGGTCCTCCGGACCCCTCAGGAGGGGCAACACCCGGATTGTCTTAAGTAGAACACACAAAAGGGGCTCTTTGGGATTTGGGATTTTTTTCTCCCCAAGCAACAGACGTACCTTTCTAGACTCTCCAATTTAGAAACACAAGTTTTGTTTCACTATTAGACCTTCAGAGATCATCAGGTCCCATAGCCTCCTCCTTTCCAGATGAGGGAACTGAAAATCTGAAAGATTTTGCCTTTTGCTCAAGGTCACACAGCTCAAGTTCAGTGTGCAGCTGGAACTAGAGGGTCTGAATATACGGAACCCCCCAGGTCAGTGCTTTCTGCAGCTATGATATGAAAAAAGTAAGTTTGGTTGGAGGGTGGGGGGCATCCAGGCCTGGCCTGGCCGGTCAGCGAGGAGGCTCAGCCCAGGGTTCAGATTTTCCTGGAGCCAGTCCACCAGCGGTCAGGCCACATGTGAGTAATAAAGAATTGAGTCAATCCCAGCACTTTGGGAGGCCGAGGCGGGTGGATCACGAGGTCAAGAGATCGAGACCATCCTGGTCAACATGGTGAAACCCCATCCCTACTAAAATACAAAAAATTAACTGGGCATGGTGGCGCGTGCCTGTAATCCCAGCTACTCAGGAGGCTGAGGCAGGAGAATTGCCTGAACCCAGGAGGCGGAGGCTGCGGTGAGCCGAGATCGCGCCGTTGCACTCCAGCCTGGGTAACAAGAGCGAAACTCCATCTCAAAAAAAAAAAAAAAAAAAGAATTGAGTCTTGGGTACTTTAGGCTGCTCTCCCTCTTCCTGGCTCCTTTCCCCGGCCTTAACTTCCTTTTGGAGTCCCTACTGACTTCTGGGTGTCCACTATGGACCCTGTGGAAAAATTTCAGCTCCATCTCAGAATAAAAGGAATGAAAACCTGGGGAAAGGAGACAAGAAGGAAAGCCACAAATACGCATCTGGCCGAGGCAGAGGGAGCAGCTCCAAGAGTCTGCAGAGATGCACCGTGACTGCTGTTTGCAGAGGTTCAGCTGCCAGAGGTTTGAATGCGCTCCTGGGTCCTGCCCCTGAGAAATCAGAGCAGGCGACAGAGAAGACACATGTTCCCTACCAGTTTTTTTTCCTGTGCCAAGTCCTTCAAGTTTCTGCAGACAATGGGGAAGGGCAAGAACTATGGAATCAGACAAGAGGTGGCTGGAATTCCAGCTCCCCAACCCATTAGATGGGGCCTTGAGCAAGTGACTCAACCTCTCTGAGCCTCAGTTTCTTTGCCTGTTACCTGAGAGGAACAATAGGACCATTATGAGGACTTACATAATGTGTATTATATGAAGCACTTAGCACAGTTCTGTACCTAGGGCTACATTATAACTTTTGTGGGTCTTAGGCATTTTAGCCTTTTTTGCCATGAGCCCTTAAGCAAAAACAAAAAAATTAAAAAATATTTTATGGCTGCATTTGTATAAAAGTGAACACACTAATATTTTGTAGTAAAGCTTTTTTTTTTTGAGATGGAGTCTTGCTCTGTGGCCCAGGCTGGAGTGCAGTGGTGTATGATCTCGTGATCTCGGCTCACCGCAACCTCTGCCTCCTGGGTTCAAGTGATTCTTCTGCCTCAGCCTCCTGAATAGCTGAGATTACAGGCACCCGCCTCCATGGCTAGTTAATTTTTGTATTTTTTGGTAGAGACGGGGTTTTACCATGTTGGCTAGGCTGCTCTTGAACTCCCGACCTCAACTGATCCGCCCGCCTCAGCCTCTCAAAGTGCTGGGATTACAGGTGTGAGCCACTGCGCCTGGCCAGTACTAAAGCATTTCTTTTTTAATCTAAAAATATTATATATTGTTTGTTTTGTTTCTACAAAGAAATTTCAACATTTCCATGGGCCCCTAAAAGCACTGGCCCTCGGCACTGTGCCTAATGGATGTTAGCCCTGCTTGTCTCCCAGCTCAAGATCTGCTTTTAGGGTAGCCCAAACTAAGACATACAGCCATGTCTATGATGTGTGAGGAGCCACAGCAAAGACGACTGAGAGAAGAGTGTAATGAGTGAGGGTCGGGGGAAGGAGAGAAATAGCTTTCACGAACTCACCTTTTCCCCCAGTCCTCTCTCCATCACATGGGGTGGCTGTCGTAGCCTTCCCTGCTGGATCTGTCAGGACCATGCTTCCTGTACATTAGGTCTGCCCTCTGCCCCCTCAGGCCTCTATCTCTATGCCCTCTGCTCACACCCAGGCAGGTAGGTAGTATGAAGCCCACCTTCCCCAATAGGCCCCTCTCTGTAGTTCCTCTTCATAGACAGGCATCTATCCTGCCAGGATTCCAGTCCCTCTTGCCAGGGGGAGATCCCAGGCTTTGGGGCAACACTGCCCCAGCCTCCTGAGGCCCGCATGTGAATACTGGCCATGCCCTCCCACCTACTTTTCTCCTTAGGGAAGGCCCCACTCCGGAGTACTTTTCAGCTGCAGAGAGCCTCAGAAAGAGCAGGCATGAGAGAAAAAGTCACTCTCCTGCATGATATTAGCTTTTCTTCCATCTGAAATCACAAGGCTGGATCATGCAGTCCGTCTCTGGAGGCACTTAGCTCTTAGAATTTGCTCCCAGCTACCAGGCAACTGGCAGAGACTAAACAGCTTGTTTCTAAAGAGGGAGTGGCTGGTGTTTGTCAAAGACTGATGTGTGGGCTCCAGCGGCCTCTCCAGATGGTAGCTGAGGCTTGTCCTGAGCTCTGGGAAAGCAGGAAGTCCCTGGCTGGGCTGGGGCTTGCTGGCTTTGCAGGAGCACTGGTGGGATCTGGGAAAGCATTCCTCACAAATGTCTCTTTCAGAGGCTGCTAGATTCCTTAACAGCTAATTGGTGAGAAGTCACTGCCGTGGTGGGGGCTGACCTAGGCCTTCCTCCACCTCCTCCTCGGGGTCGAGACCCCAGGAGAGACCAGCAATGCTCAACTATGGCCGTATTTCCTCCCCATGTCAACACTTTCTTTAGGAATCGTCTCACGTTTAAGCCTTTTCTCAGAAACCAGCTTTTCTCTGACAAATTTGCAGCTCAAAAGGAACGGGCTCCTCTTACTGTTGAAATCAGGCACATCTGGAAGCAGTAAACTTTTCAGCAGGCCGAGGGGGAGGAAAAGATGTCTTGTAGGGGACAGATTCACCTCTGAGACTAATTATTCTTTATATTTCACCCGTCACATTTACCATTTTCATCAGAGCAGAGAGACAATAAGTGATCTCATTAAATCCTAGAAAGATGCTTCTCCCCTTCAAGGAGAACCTCTTCTCAACACCCTGTCCTCTGACAAGGGCCATGTCACTGAGGTTGGTACTGGGGCCTGGGAATCAGGGATGGGTGGGGTAGAGGTGCTTCCAGATGCTTTTCCTCATTTGAATATAGTGTCTGTGTTTTCTGTTGCTGGAAATATCCTTGTGAGTCTGAAATCAAAGTCTTCTCTAGCCACATTTTCCCCAGACATAGGCTCTCCTTGGAGAGAGAGAAATGAGAGGGCATGCTTGGTTGTGGGGTTAAAAAAATCATTTTGGGGGAATTCTGAACCGGCTCGTCTCTCTTCTTCCTATCAAAAGCTCATCCTGAGGCTGGCTGCATTGGCTCACACCTGTAATCCCAGCACTTTCAGAGGCCGAGGCAGGAGGATTGCTTGAGCTCAGGAGTTCAAGACTAGCCTGGGCAATGTGGTGAAACCCTGTCTCTCCAAAAAAACACAAAACTTAGCCAGGCATGGTGGCACATGCATGTATAGTTTGAGCTACTTGGGAGGCTAAAGTGGGAGGATCGCTTGAGCCTAGGAGGTTGAGGCTGCAGTGAGCCGAGATTGTTGCATTGCACTGCAGACTGGGTGACAGAGTGAGATCCTGTCTCAAAAACAAGCAAACAAAACATCCTGGTAGAAAGACCAGAGAAGACACTGAATCAGATCCTTCCAGGGCTGGGTAGCAATTGTATGAAACCCCTATTGACTTCAGTGAGTGAGCACCAAGTTCAAGAGGCCGAAGACGAGAACCAGAGCTAGCAAATGAGACATGGAGTTTTATTAGAGACTTCCATACAAGGGAGAGAGTCCGCTGGCATCAGGCTGGACAATGTAACCGACTGGCCTAGTGGCAGTGGGCTGGGCAGGAAGTCTGCAATGGCCTCCAAATCTCATGCAGTTTATATAGCATTTTCACTTAGCACCCCCACCCAACCCCAGCAGACTTCATTTAGTCAAAAACTCAGGGCCTCAATCCCCTGTATGGCCCATGTTCCACGGGATGTGCCAGGGACTCAGATGTTCCACATAGACAAGGGATGAATCTCCTGGTTGGCTACTCCAGATCCCCTAGCTCAGAACACACATTCAGGTGCATCTGCCATACAGGGTCATTCTAAGGGTATCCTAAAGTTAATTGCGGACAGGTGCGTTTACCATACAATCACTGTCCACAAAGCCTGTGAACCCTGGTATCATATGGCTGTGATACCAGGGTTTGGAATTGTTGTCACTTCCTTTCCCAATCACGTAAATGAGCAGCTTAGACAGGGCCACAGCATCCGACTGATTGTCTTCCCAATGCACACCTTTTTACCCTTCAAATAGACACCATTCAATTCAAGGGAATGGGTGTAGGCAGAGAAATTCTTTCCCTCTGTACTCTTGTCAGATGTTGGCCTGAGGTGGCCCAGAAGGGTCAGAACCCCATCTTCTGAAGGGTGCCTGGTGTCTTTCAGGTGTTCCTTACTTAAAATGTGATTGACAAAATTAGCATCACTTGAAAGCTCCTTAAAAAGTACACAGTCTCCTCACCCTTTCCTGCTCCACATCCCAGGCATTTTAACAGGATCTCCAGGTGATTTGTATGAATGAGAGGTTGTGTTCTACATCAGTTGTTCTCAGTAATTGGCTTGGCTCAGAATCACCGGCAAGGCTTGTTAAAATGTTGACTGCAGGACCCTGCCCTAGACTTTGATTCCAAAGATCTGGCATGGCTGAGAATGTACATTTTTAATAAGTTCCCATGGCTGCAGGTGGTACTGATCCAGGGACAACACTAACATGGTTCCCAAGCCTCATTTCATTACCCTTAAGGAATTGTGTTTAAAAATACAGATTCCTGGGCTTAAGAAATTCAGGTTCAAAGGTCTTATAATCTAATAACAGGGTTGTTAGAACAAAGTACATTGTATAGCACTTTACAGTTTACAAAATGCTTTTGTCAGAGGCTTTTGAACCGAAGCAACTCCATCTCGAATAGGAGCTGGCTAAAATGAGGCTGAGACCCACTGTACTGCATTCCAAGAGAGTTAAGGCATTCTAAGTCATGGGATGAGATAGGATGTAAGCACAAGATACAGGTCATAAAAACTATGCTGATAAAACAGGCTGCAGTAAAGAAGCCAGCTAAAACCCACCAAAACCAAGATGGTGACAAGAGTGACCTCTGGTTGTCCTCAGTGCTACGCTCCCACCAGTGCCATGACAGTTTACACATCCCATGGCAACATCAGGAAGTTACCCTATATGGTCTAAAAAGAGGAGGCACAAATAATCAACTCCTTGTGTATCCACCCCTCGTGTATCCTGATTAAGAAATAACCATAAAATTGGCAACCAGCAGCCCTCAGCACTGCTCTGCCTGTGGAGTATTCATTCTTCTATTCCTTTACTGTCCTAATAAACTTGTTTTCACTTTGCTCTATGAACTTACCTTCAATTCTTTCTTGCATGAAGTCCAAGAACCCTCTCTTGAAGTCTGGATCAGGACTCCTTTCTGGTAATAAAATGAGAGCATTCCCTGGCCCCTTTGCAGCATGTGCAACAGGGATGTGGCTTATTTATTCAGTCCCCAAAATGCTCAAATCCCTTAATGTAGGGGGAGCATGCAGGTGAGCAGGTGCAGGAGCTGGGGTGAGCACTTTTGGGCTCCAGCCCCGCCAGAGTGTCTAGGAGTGTTACAATGCTTTTTTAGCCCTGCCATACAGGGACAACTTAACTGTTAAACAGCTGAGTGAAGAGTCAGTGTGACACCCTTTTTGGGTTCCTGCATCCAGTGCATCCTGAATTCTTGTCCAGTGTCCAGGAAGAATCTGGTCACACAGACTTGAAGGATGGTGAAAGCAGGGATTTTATTGAGTAATGGAGGTGGTGCTCATTGGGATGGGGAGCTGGAGAGGGGATGGAGTGGGAAGATGATCTTTTCCTGGAGTTTGGTGATCCTGCAGCTAGTCTCCTCTCCAATCGCTCCCAGCTGATCTCCTCTCAACATTCAGACACTTCCTCTCTTCTCTGTTTCTCTGCTGCACTACTCTGCTGCTCTTCTGCTTGTGGAGCCTGGGGTTTGAGGTTTTTATGGGTACAGAATGGAGGGTGTGGTAGGCCAGGGTTGGTTTGGAAAACACTCAGACAGGAAAACAGGGATAACTGCTCTTATTTAGAGCCATGGTTTCCAGGCTCTAGGGTGGGGCCATTGCTGGGGAACCACTCTCTTCTACCCATTATTTCCCTACCTCCTGTCCATATCAGTAAGACTTTTATAAACAATATTCCATTTACTCTTTCGAATGAAGAATCTTGTTACAAATAAGGAGGAAGCTCAGGCTCTGAGAAGTTAAGCAATTTATCTAATACTTCTTAGTGAGTAAGCCAAGATTTGAACCCAAGAATTCAACCTAAACTTTCTGTCTCATCATAGCCTATTACAAAATCATTGTAAAGATTGAGTCCATTTCAAGTATTTTTAGTTAACTGTTCATAGGGTTTTTCAGAGGCAGTTTTATGGTTTTATGGAATGTGGTTAATGAACAGATAAGATTGTTTTGTACAGAGGAACATCCATTCCCATGCTGGTAATATCCTTGGGTACTTAGAAGCATGCCACATAGATTGAACATGCCTTCCCTGATTTTGACTACCCTTTCAATTCACCTTTTTTTTTTTAACAGGTTAAAAAAAGTTAAAAGACCCAACCCTTTCTTTGAAGGTCAAACTGATCAAGTTTCGATTTAGCTGAGGCTGAATCAGTAGTTTACTGTGTGTGCAGACTCCCAGTCCACATCACTGCCATAATTCCCAACTAAGCCTTTTCAAAGGAAAGGCATATGCTTGCATTGTAAGTACTAGTCGTTGATGACAAAAAAAAAACCAAAAAATATTGTATGCCTCAGGCCGTATCTATGAAAAAAAAAAATCTTCCCTGAATCTGTCCTCAGGTCCTTTTTAATGCAAGTTGAGACAAGAGGTATCCTAGCTGGCTGGGACCAAGAACAATGCCCTGTAGCTGTGGGTGTGGAAGTGGGTGCGGCTTGTCATCCAGCAGCTTTTGAAGAGGTGTCAAAAAAAGGCCATTTTGAAATAAGTGCTCCTGTTACCTAAAAGAGGGCAGTGCCTAGGTCAGAAATGTCCAGTGGTCTCCTTGAAAAAAAGAGAAGGGGAGAAAACAACTTTCCTAGCTGGAAGCAGAACTGATATTCTCCCGTTTTGTGAACCCCTTTCCCAGAGGTGTTTCTGGGAACACCGAGATCAAATTACAAAAACATTTTCTGCTTCACAATGACTTAGTTGGGTTTTTCTTTCTTTCTTTCTTTCTTCATTTTTTGAAATAGGGTCTCACTCTGTCACCCAGGCTAGAGTGCAGTGGCGAAATCTTGGCTTACTGCAGCCTCCACCTCCAGCGCCCAAGTGATCTCCCACCACAGCCTCCCGAGTAGCTGGGACCACAGGCACATGCCACCATGCCCAGCTACTTTTTGTATTTTTGGTAGAGATGGGGTTTAATCTTGTTGGCCAGGCTGGTCTCAAACTCTGGGGCTCAAGAGATCCACCTGCCTTGGCCTCCCAAAGTGCCAGGATTATGGGTGTGAGCCACCGCTCCCCACCTTAGTTGGGGTTTTAACTGGCAAAACTTTCTTCTTTCAAAGTCCAGTACTCCATTGATTTTCCCCTTTCCTCCCTCTCTGGCAGGGATGGCAGTGGGGAAGTGGAGATGCTGCAGAAGAGTGTGCCGAGGGTTCCTCTATGTTAGATCACATGCCATAACCAGGAATATTTTTAGAAATCCAGAAAAAAATTATCTCCTGGACGAATGGTGTCGATTTTGTGCTGTTTGGGGAAAGTGGGTCATCAGAGTAAACGCCTCTTTCTCTGATGCCTTAAGTGTTCTCTCTGCCTCAGATGAGCAGGTTATTAAGGTAATGTTACCCTTTATTGCTGACAAGCAGTGTAAATAGACACCCAGACTACAGAGATTACTTGCTTTCAAACTGCAGAAATGAGATACTTTCTCTTACAATTTCCCTTTCCACCAAATAACATACCCGATTTACTTGGGGGAAATAGTTGCCTTCTTATAATGACCACACCTATTTGCTCAGATGGAAAAAACTGGCAAAGTAAATGCTGTTATTATCTGGGCAGATCTTATCATCTGGGCAAAACTCATATATATATATATGAGTTTTGCTTAGTCCTATTTAAAAATTTTTTAAATGAACCCTCATTGCTGGAAGAGAGAATAATAATAGTTAATGACGCTCAGAAAATCCATCAGTTTTAAATGTGGTGAAGCTGGCTGTAACATATGATAAGATCTTTATGTACAGGTGGAAATATTTCATCATGGTCCTTTGCTATTTCAACTCACATGGAAGAAAGCCCACTGGGTGTACTCCTTGAACCAACCAAATAGACTCAATCAAAAACACACATAGCATCGGCAAACATCAGAGAATACAAAGAAAGAAAGTTCAAGAAAATGCATCTCAAGGGCTCTGTTTGTACAGGTCTGGCCTCTCGAAGATTGAGCCATTCTTAGACCTTTTACTGGAGAGGCTTTGTGTAACGTACTGCCTAATGGCTCGGCTGTTCAAATGTGATACAGTCCATTATGACAGTAGGCTATGCTACCTATGTGCAGACGGCAAGACAGAACTGAAGCAACAGTCACATTTCCAAGCCAAACAAACTTAAAAATTAATGCTGTGAAGGGGAGAACTGTATTCCAAATCTCCATGAACTGTTACCGGTGCCAAATTAAATGACTATCAAAGGAGCAATGAAGAAGTATTATAGGAAATAAAAAGGGAAGGGGAAAAACTCCTTTAGGAGTTGAATAATTTAATGGAGGGAGGGACGCTTCCACCTGAAACTTCATTTGCAGCAACTTCTGGGAGTCACAGGTGTTTTAACGTGTTCCCTCAACCACTCGTTCAATCCCTTGCAAATTGTTGACCTTTAGAAAATTGAAGGCAATTCTCTAGTCAAGACGAAGTACAAACAGAGGGTATAAGAGCCCCTGATTTCAGCGAGTTTGTAATCTTGTGGAGGAATCGTGACACATGCTTAGTATTATTAATGCAAAGCAAAGATCTTTATGTAAATTTCTTAGAGTAAAAACCATGAGCCTTTTGAGTTCAGAGGCAGAAAAATAAAAAAACAAATCTAATCGTTCTCTCTGCTAACATGATAATGCCCTGTTGTACTATTTGTAGCCTGGCATTTTGCTCTCCAAAAAGTCAGAATTATTCATGCCCTATGTCTTATAGAGTAAATTGTGATAGAGTTTAGAGAACTGGGACTGGAAATATCTCTAATAATTATGTGCTTGCTCCTTACAGAAGCACACATTTTATCTAGTACTTCTAATTATATGGTAGTGATGCGTAAGTATTACTAATTACAGGGAAATGCTTGTCATGCATATACCATTTTCTTGGTTTTCAGTTAAAAGAAAATGCCCACCAGGGTAAGAAATAGATGTTGGAAAGCAGCATACTGCTGCCAATGTTACGTGGCTTTCAAAGCTTTCACTGATTTTCAAATGTAGTTATTTCAGTTTCCTGGTTTGCAAATACATAAATAACCAATCATGTGATGGTGTTCACCTCATGTGTTTTATGCAAATTCCTAGTGTTGCAGGTTCAAGTAGAAATATTTTACTTGGCATTAATTGAATAAGATGTAAAGGTACAAATATGCTTAACATAGACTCAAAAATAGGCATTCCTTTAGGGCCCACTGAGGTATGGACCTAACTTAAATCCGTTTACCTTTTAGTTTTTAAAATCATTAGATGCGTATTGTTACAGAACAAGACATGAAAAATTTGTGAAACTTCATATATAAAATTTAAATGTGTGTACTTAAAAATATTAAGTTCCGGCCTTGGCGGGAGGGGATGGAGGCGGCCGCGGCGCCGGGGCGGGATGCACCGGGGAGCACGGCGAGTCAGCCCAGCGGCTGCGGAAAACACAACTCGCTGGAGAGGAAGAAAGGCCAAAGATATTATAAAAGCAGCTCGGGAGAGCCTTGCGAAGATGATTGGTGGGAAACCTCAAGACATCATCTTCACTTCCGGGGGCACCGAGTCAAATAATTGAGTAATCCATTCTGTGGTGAAACATTTCCACGTAAACCAGACCTCATAGGGAGACACGGGTGTGCACCACAGCCCAGTAGATGGGCAAAGCCCCATTTCATCACTTCCTCTGCGGAACACGACTCCATTCGACTACCCCTGGAGCACCTGGCAGAAGAACAAGCAGCAGCGGTCACCTTTGTCCCGGTGTCCAAGGCGAGCGGGCAGGCAGAGGTAGACGACATCCTTGTAGCCGTCCGCCGGACCACACGCCTCGTGAGCATCATGCTGGCCAACGAGACCGGCGTCGTCATTCCTGTCCCTGAAATCAGCCAACGCATTAAAGCCCTGAACCAGGAACGGGCAGCTGCCGGGCTGCCTCCCATCCTTGTGCACACGGATGCTGCACAGGCCTTGGGGAAGCGGCGCGTGGATGTGGAGGACCTGGGCGTGGACTTCCTTACAATCGTGGGGCACAAGTTTAATGGTCCCAGGACTGGCGCACTTTATGTACGGGGGAATTGGTGAATGTACCCTTCTCTACCCTATGCTGTTTGGAGGTGGACAAGAACAGAATTTCAGGCCAGGGTAAGGCAGAAAGTTAACTGGCCGTGTCATGTCTGTAGAGCAGTGACATTGTGAAGAACCATGGCACCGTTTCTTTGTCTCGTGGGGGGCTCTGTAGCAGAGTCCATGCTGCTGCTTTGTCACAGCTGGCTCCACTGACTGATTTTATGCTGAGGACTCACGGGACCTGCAGTCTCTCTGGCAATGAAGGAAATCTCCGTTTCTTTTAACTGCTTCAAAGCATCCAATTCCCCTTGTAATTTTGGCCCAGCCCACTGGTGAGAGAACTGTTGGACCCTTCATAGCTGAGGCCTGCTGCTGTTTTAACTTCGGGGATCAGCAGGGCCACACGGAAGCACCCTGGTCTTCTTTCTGATAGCTCCTGTGTACCCTCTATGTACAGTGACATGTTAACTGGGAAATTACTTCTTGCCCCCACTATACTTTTTGTTAGAAACTTCTTACCAAGAGAGAGAAACAGGAGCAGCATGGGGATGAGTTCCCTGGATTTTCTTTTTGCATTGTGTATCCCACACAGTGCTGAGGAAGCTGGCAAACTGACACAAAAGTGCCCAACCAAAGCCTGTCCTTTCTGGCCAGTGGACCAGGAAAGGAGCGGCCTAGCAAGACAGAAGACCTTCAGACAACAGCCGCTTTCCTCCAGCCAGGCACTGCAGAGTAGTTGTGCTGCCGCGCCTGTCGACGCTGGAAAACATTCAGCGGGAAACCCAGACTTCCACCAATACAGGCTGTCACGAGGCAGTCCACATCCTCACCAGTGTGTCAAGTAGGCCAGGTAGAGAACCAGGACTTCCACCCCCACCATGGTATCAGCAGAGACCATATAGGGATCTTAGATCCACACGTGTCAGTCATAAGGAGCATCCTCCCGTTGGGTGTCAGCAGCAGCCAAGTAAGAAATCTAGACGTCGGGCGGGTGCAGTGGCTCATGCCTGTAATCCCAGCACTTTGGGAGGCTGAGACGGGTGGATTGCTTGAGGTCAGGAGTTTGAGACCATCCTGGCCAACATGGTGAAACCTCGTCTCTACTAAAAATACAAAAATTAGCTTCGTGTAGTGGCACTTGCCTGTAATCCCAGCTACTTGGGTGGCTGAGACAGGAAAATCGCTTGAACCCGGGAGTTGGAAGTGGCAGTGAGCCAAGATCGCACCACTGCACTCCAGCCTGGACCACAGAGCAAGACCTTGTCTCTTTTTTAAAAAGACAACATTAAGCCGGGCGCAGTGGCTCACACCTGTAATCCCAGCACTTTGGGAGGCTGAGGCGGGTGGATCACGAGGTCAAGAGATCAAGACCATCCTGGTCAACATGGTGAAACCCCGTCTATACTAAAAATACAAAAAAAAAAAAAAAAAAAAAAAATTAGCTGGGCATGGTTGCACGTGCCTGTAATCCCAGCTACTCAGGAGGCTGAGGCAGGAGAATTGCCTGAACCCAGCAGGCGGAGGTTGCAGTGAGCCGAGATCGTGCCATTGCACTCCAGCCTGGGTAACAAGAGAGAAACTCCGTCTAAAAAAAAAAAAAAAAAAAAAAAAAAAAATATATATATATATATATAAATAAAAAGACAACATTAAAGAAATAAAATAATAATAAAAAATTAAGTTCCCCTGCCTTTGTTTATTGGATAAACAATAAAGCTTTATTATTATAAACCTTTTTAACAATGCTATTGGATATTTTAATGTGATGTTTATGTGTTGTGGTGTTTATTATTATACACAGTAATTTATTTTTATATTTGTGTGACATTCTTCACAATTTATGCTTCTACAGTTATTTTACTTTGAAGGGAAGGATGAAGCAGTATAAATAATCATTACATTCAGCTACTATACTTTTGTTGAAGTTCAGGAAATAGAAAACTCTTAGGGACTAAGCAAATTTTCAAAATTATTGCATGTAATTAGCCCAAGATTAAAAAGAATTTTTTTTGTCTCTTTCCCAGTGAAAGATTAGTGATGTTTTAATTAATTTACTGGCACTCAGCATAGAAGAAGTTATAAACTCTGAGGAAAGTAAACCCTTTGAAACAATTTCATTAGTGTAGATTTTCAGAATCTGTATTTAAAAAGAGACATAGTAACTTAAGACTTTCAGAATCTGTATTTAAAAAGAGACATAGTAACTTAAGACTTTCAGAATCTGTATTTAAAAAGAGACATAGTAACTTAAGACTATAACATATTAAGTACTTCTCCTCATTGTGGTATTTTCCATTAAAGAGAAATAAGACTACCTATGCATATTACTTATCTCTTCCAAGACAGTATTATAAATATTTCAATGCCTTAACTTTTAAAAAAAATCGACACATGTATTTTACATATGTATGGGGTGCATGTGATATTTTGTTACATGTATGGGATACGTAATGGTCAAGAGACGGTGTTTGGGGTATCCATTACTTTGAGGATTTATCATTTCTTTTTTTATTGCATTTTAGGTTTTGGGGTGCTTGTGAAGAACATGCAAGATTGTTGCCTAGGTACACACTTGGCAGTGTGATTTGCTGCCTTCCTCCCATCACCTATATCTGGTATTTCTCCCCATGCTATCTCTCCCCAACTCCCCACCCCCTGCTGTCCCTCCCCTATTTCCCCCAACAGACCCCAGTGTGTGAGGATTTATCATTTCTATGTGTTGGGAACATTTAAAGTTCTCTCTTCTTGCTGCTGTGAATTACACAATACGTTGTTGCTGTGTATAGTCACCATGAAATCCACTTTTCTAGTTCCCACATATGAGTGAGAACATCAATGTTCTCACGTCAACTCTTTTTTTTTTTTTTTAATTTTTTATTGGATTATAGGTTTTGGGGTACATGAGCAGAGCATGCAAGACAGTTGCGTAGGTACACACATGGCAGTGTGCTTTGCTTTTCTTCTCCCCTTCATTCACATTTGGCATTTCTCCCCAGGCTATCCCTCCCCACCTCCCCCTCCCACTGGCCCTCCCCTTTTCCCCCCAATAGACCCCAGTGTTTAGTACTCCCCTTTCTGTGTCCATGTGTTCTCATTTTTCATCACCCACCTATGAGTGAGAATATGCGGTGTTTCATTTTCTGTTCTTGTGTCAGTTTGCTGAGGATGATGTTTTCCAGATTCATCCATGTCCCTACAAACGACACGAACTCATCATTTCTGATTGCTGCATAATATTCCATGGTGTATATGTGCCACATTTTTCCAATCCAGTCTATTATCAATGGGCATTTGGGTTGATTCCAGGTCTTTGCTATTGTAAACAGTGCTGCAATGAACATTCGTGTACATGTGTCCTCACGTCAACTCTTAACACTACGAGGTGAATGTCATTGTTCCCATTTCACCGGGGAGGAAACTGAAGCTTATGGAAGCAAGGTAACAGATGTATGCACAATGGGTATAATTCTGACATATAACATTGAGGTTATAAGGCCTATTCTAACCACTGTACATGAGGCAAAAGAATTTTATTAGAGTAATAAAAAATAAGGTTGTGCTGAAGTGCTGGGAAGAGTACTCATAACAGGATTACAAAGTTGAAGGACCTGCAGACAGGTTCGGTTTTGCAGAGAGGTGGGGGGAAGGGAAGAAGCGCGGAACTTCTCAGAAATGCCAAGGCAAGGAGGTGTAGAGGCTGTCAGGGAGAGAGGAGCATGTAAATGGCACGTTCCACTGTACAAAGTCCAGGACAGAAAGTGGATTACATTTATGAGGGAGATTTTTCTTATCTAGAATAAACAAAGTAAGGATATTTCTCTGGAAACTTCCTTAATAGGGAGAGTGCTTTCAAAGATTTTACACCATGGGTAAAATAATGATGACGACTCTCTTGAATAATTGTGATAGAAAAATGTGCAGTCCAATGTGTGCATTTGACTCTGCAAAATAGACATGTTTGTAGTATGTCACTGCAGTATGTCATTCTTAAACTATAGTGTACCTGTTTGTTACCAGAGGAGTTCGTTTAAAATTTCGTATTTTGGAGTTCCTATACCTACTCATTTAGTAAACTAAGATGTGGCTGACCCCATATCCTCCTCCAGCTTTTGTATTTCTTTACTCTTGTTCACAGAAAAATAAAAAAACATTTTTGAAAAAATTGTTTTCCTTGGGTGTTCTACTTTCTCATCTTCCATTCATTGTAAATTAATTCTACTTTAATTTCTAACTTTACTACTCCATTGAAACTCTCCAGTTAAGATCACCAGTGGGCCAGGCGCAGTGGCTCAAGCCTGTAATCCCAGCACTTTTGGAGGCCAAGGCGGGTGGATCACGAGGTCAAGAGATCGAGACCATCCTGGTCAGCATGGTGAAACCCCGTCTCTACTAAAAATACAAAAAATTAGCTGAGCATGGTGGCGCGTGCCTGTAGTCCCAGCTACTCGGGAGGCTGAGGCAGGAGAATTGCCTGAACCCAGGAGGCGGAGGTTGCGGTGAGCTGAGATTGCGCCATTGCACTCCAGCCTGGGTAACAAGAGCGAAACTCCGTCTCAAAAAAAAAAAAAAAGATCACCAGTGACCACTTGTTAAATCCCTTGAAACCATTTAAAATCAAATCATATAACCTTTCTCAAGGCATCATAGAATCAACTACTCCCTCTTTCCAAAAACACTTTCTCTGCTTGATTTTGGGAAACAATGTTCTGCTTTGCCTTAATGTCCTTGTCAGACAATTTATTTCTTGTCTTATTTTCTCAGCTTTCTTGTACCTATAAATGATATTATTATTTAGTTTTCTGTAATTTATGTAGATGAACTATCTCTCCAACTACAATATACAGGGAAAAGCTAATTTTTTTATTTCATATATAACAGAGAAAATAATGTATTCTAATAAGTGGTTGTTAAAGAAATAGTAATAAATACTATTGATTTGTTTACAATAGTTATAACCACATCATATGTGATTTCTATGGTTTGAACGTGTCCTGTCCAAAATTTGCAAATAGGATTTGGTGCCCTTGTATAGGGGATTAATAGAGGGAGTTTGTTCTCTCTTGCCCTTTTCTCTTCTACCATGTGAGGATGCAGCAAGAAGGACCTTACCAGATGATAGTGACTTAATCTTGGACTTTCTAGCCTCCAGAACTGTGAGAAATACATTTTTCTCTTATAAATTATCCATTTTCAGGGGTTTTGTTACAGCAGTCCAGAAATAATGAAGGCAGTGATCCTAAAGAGTTGTATATATTTATGATTGCTCTTTCTTTAAAGAATCACTAATGTTTAGTGGATAGAAGCCAAATCTCATATCTTTTAGATATTTATAGCATCTTTGCTTATTGAATTGTTGGTTCTTAAAAGTTTTGAAGTTCATAGTCGTATATGAGATACTTCTAATAAGAAATATATTGTGGTGAAACAAACGTAGTCTTTACAGTCAGAAAGACCTGGATTTATCCTTCTCAAATCCCTTCATACATAAATCTGGAAAAGTAATCTATCCTCATTGAGTCTCATTATCAGTACCTGAAAAATGAAGAAAATTATAGTAACTACCAAGAACATTATAAAGAATGGAGATAATATAAACTGCCCAGCTCATGAGGTGTCAATAAGCAACCACTGTTATTATTATTCATCAAGGGTGTCTTAAAAGGTTTAAGCAGTGATTAGGTAGGTCATGCCAACCTTAAGTAATATGACTCGGAATACATGATTAAGTATAAAGTTGATATGAATACAAAACTTGGGGATAGTTACCTGGAAACACCTAATTCTAACAAGTTGGATCAGTGTTCCAAAGTGTAAAAGCCAAGATTTTATTTCTCTAGGCAGAAAGACACTATAGCAGGGTTACAACACTTTTCATATGAGACGAGTACATAAGTTACAGCAGTTTTATCAGTTTCAGACTGCAGGATAAGGAAATTACCTTATTGCTCTGTAGGAGGGGTAGTGACTTTAAAGGGTCTTATCTTTGGAGCTGTTTGATCTGCCTAATAATTAACAGGGAAAAAAAGGGGGTAAGTTGTAACTGCATGCTACTTGACTCAGGCCACATAGCCATATTGCTTTCAAGGCTCAGAATAATTTAGTTCCAACAGCTTTAAGTTAGAATTACTTAATTTCATAGTCTCTAGTGGAGGAACAACATAATGAGGCATGAGTCCTTCCAGTATCTTTTCAATATACACACGATCTAGCACTCTCCCAGTCCCTGTGAGGTGTTCATGTTATGATGGGGAGTACAGTAACAATGATTAGTTTTTGAGTGCCTACTCAATTTTTGTGCCACACCACCTGCTCTGTGGCTTTGGACTAATTAATAAACCTCTTTATGTCTTAGTTTTCTCATATATAAAATGCAGTGGATATGTTGTCATGTTGTGGTGAAGAATACGTTATTTATGTTAATTGGTTACTATAGTGTCTGGGAAATAATGGGTGTACCACAAATGTCAGCTGTTATTATTCTGTTTCTTATTTTAATTATGTGTGTGAAACTTTTGTTATGTATCTATCCTGTCACAGACTTTCTATGGAAAAGTAACATTTTTCTCATTTTAAGATGAGAAAAGACGTGAAAAGGTTAGTGTTTTGCTCAGGGACAGGGAGCAAATAAGTGATAAAATTGGGATTTGAACCTTAATCTGTATTACTTCCAAGCCTGTGCCTGCTGATAGTCTCAGGGTAACTTGTCGTTGTTATAGCTATCACTATCCACAGCCTTTTAAAGCAATGTTTTGTTTTGTGTTGTTTGCAATTACCTGTCCTTTTTTAGTATTTAAAAATATAAATATCCATTATTAAGGATTATCAGAGAGCTCCTTAAGTACAGCTATGAGCTCATTTAATCGTCACTTCTACACACATCTATAACTTAGGAACATGGTGTTGTAATTCCATTTCACAGAGAGAAACTGCATCTTAGATCAATAAAGAGATTTTCCCAAGGTCAAATAATAGTAGGTGTAATGAAAATATCAATAGAAGCTAAGGTGATTGTCTCATAGTTGAACACTTTACTAATGCTTTCCCTATGTGTTGTACTTCTCACATACTTGTCAAAGGATGATTTACACTTTACAGAGAAAGAAACAGGCTAAGGGAAACTGACCTTGCTCCAAATATTACACCATTTATGTGGCAGAATCAAGACCAAAATCCACATTTGCCTAATTTCAGTGCCCTTGCTTTATGGGTTTGCTATCCTGCTTCCTGCTTAAGTCCATGAACAAGTGCTCAGTTGAGACACAAAATGTTATGGAGCCTACGCCATAGATAAGCTCATTTTCGCCTGGAAAATTTGGGACAGGTATTAACTTTCAGCATCTTGTGTCGTAAAATAACTTCAGTGTGGCCCCCCTAGCAAGTCTGATTTAGAACACTGTTCTCTGTTAATGGGTCTTCCAAGAAGAGTCAATTGCTTCTGGCCTGCCAAGTACTTAAATGAATTGACTTGCTGGGTGAAGTTATTTTCTAATGTCAGGGTGTTCTAAAGGAGTAAATGAGGTAGAAAATGATAATGCTTAACCGTTGCATAAAAGCTGTCACGGTGACATCAGACCCTATCTTCAAGCTGGGTTTAGAGATTTTTCAAAATAGTGCCATTTACTGTCCTTTTAATGAAAAACAAAAATGATAGATATGTTTTTATGGCTGAAAAGGAGAATTATCCAAAAAATAAATAAATAATTATATTATATTTGAACATACCAGGATAAATCTTTTTAAAGAAGGAACTACTTAAGATTGAAGAGGCCAGCATAGAAAGGCCAACTGCAATCCCAAAACATTTAGTAAGTCCATTAATTCTATATTTCATATTTCCTAATAGATAGACTCACTCTATAAATTTGAATAGCCACCATACATTTAAAAAATACTGAAGGGATTTGGTTAGTTAAAATGCTATGGTAGCTCTCAATAAGTGCTTTCTTTCCTCTGATAATGCTAAAATGAAGTAGTTATTCAGATAAACATCAAAATGGCAAATTGTAGTCTCTTTTTTAGAAACCTGTCCTCTAATTTCTCTGTGTCCCTTGCTTCTATATCCATTAAATCAAGTCTACTTTCTCTAAAGTCAACTCTTGCTAAAAGCACTCAGGGGAGGATCAACTTGTAAAATGAATGGAACTATTATTCATTACTATCAAGTGTAAGTACAAAGAGCATTGAGAGAATACTCTATATTAAGAGTGAGAAGTGAACATACACACAGCTAACAACTCATCTTCACATTAGCAAATGGACTTAGATTTTGGGAAGGGGAATTGAGGTAGACGTGTATTTATTTTTCAGGCATAATAAACCGTGTGTGTGCCATGTAGCTTTAAAATACATCCAAGTAAGGCAATCTTGGAAAA